AAGTATATACAGGGTGATTCATCAAGCATGTTGTTCATCCCCCACCCCCCTTTTTATACATAAATAATATATTTTTTCAAATCCATATTTTTCGGAACTTTTAAGTAAACTTGAGGATCATAATTTCAAATACTCAGTATTTGTGTACAAGGGTTAAGGAGTTTGCCGAAACTTTTTGCTCAAATGAGAACCACCTATAGTGTTAATCAGATGATTTTCTTCGAAAATGTTAACGCATTGAAATCGATATTATATTTTGAAGGATTAGTTTCTGAGTTATTATACGTTTTATATTGCATAAAGGACAATAGTCTCTAATAATGATTTTACATAGATAGGTACATTTTACAATATATGTAATATTTAGTCTATATTATACTGAGACAATTTTTATAAACTATAAAATTGTAATAAGTTAATATTGGTTAATCAGTAATGACTTGTTTGAATTTCGATTTATTTGTAGATACACAACGTATTAGTATTATATCCTTAACAATTGGCAATAAAAATGACCAGTTCCCATTTGAAAATTGAGAAGTTTGTATCAGATCGTCACGTCATCATAATGGAACACTCTTGCGAAAAGAAAAACAAGGTAAACAATTTGAAAACATGGTCTTTAAGTATGCACCTACAATAGATCATGGGTACTTAAAATGTCCAACAAATTCACTATTGAAGGGGAAAACGGGGGTGAGCACGAAGCTCGATGAATAATCACCCTGTATAATATAATATAATATAATACATCAGGTTTTATAATAATACGTACATATAATGTATATATGCGTAAGCAAATTAAATTAATAATTATCTGGACCCGGAATGCCCCGGAGGACGCACGGCGATTCGACGACCGCTGCAGCGGAGTCGGACCGAGTGAACACGACGACCGTTCCCCACCCCGCTTCGAAAACCACCGGCTCGCGGAGGGAGTGACGCGGAACGAAAAATACCGTCTGTGGTATAAGCTGGCGGTATAAGTACACGCGGGTAAAGTGCGCGGATAATGGACGACGGTATAAAATATATAATAATATGAGACATGAGTTATTACTGTATATTATATTTAATTATGTCATACCTGAACAGCGTAATAAGGTCAAATCGACAAGAGCTGCTGGTGTTTGTAGTAGGTAGTACTGTCGTCGCTCGCATTATTCGTAGTATTCGTGATATCGTATAATATTATTATCATATTTACATCGTCAAAATATACATACGTTGCTGCTGAACGAATGTTGAAATAAAAAGTGATTTCGTTTTTATTTTCAACTCGCGAGACGCCGATTTTTCGTGGATTTTCTCGGCTTGGCAGTGTCACTAAACGAGAACACTATAAAACGATTGAGTCGTATGATATTATGTATTCGCTCCGGATCAATGTACATAATATATATTATATAGGTACCTATTGTTTATTAATATTTATATTTTACTAGCTGATCCCGTGCACTTCGTTTCCCGTTAAATGTACCAACTCTATATGACTCAAACATTGGTCAATGCGTTATTTAATATTCGGTGTATGATGTTCTAGATTTATCTTAACTTTTCTGTTGCCCAGAATAAAAATTCTGAATTGCAGCAGTACATTATCAGATAGGTAATTTACCTGCGGTAGATCGCGGGCCCCGTGCTGTTTGTACGTAAGTGTATGATTTAACTCAAAAAATACCAAAGTTATACCAAGTTCGACGTTTTTACTTAATTCCACCTACCTATAAATCCTAACCTAACCTAACCGTACTAAAATCCGATGAATAAAAAAAACCAAATTTAACCCTTTTTAAATTAGCGTATCTTCTTCCCATAGGTCTAATCTACACACCGTCATTCATTTATATATATGATATATTTACAAAAAATAATAATACAAATCAACAAACATGCCCGATTAACCAATAGCAACCAATATAATATAATACACAATAGAGTAAATAAAGACAACGGTATCGAGTTCAAATCCCAGACATCAATAAATAGTTTTCGCAGTTTTTCTAATTATTCGGTTGACATTTTAAAAATTTTCTTTCGTAAAAACCTTCACCTGGCAATTACGAACATCTTAAAAAAAAATTTGACCAAAATCGGACCAGCCGTTCTCAACTGATGCAATTTCGAATTTTTTGTCTCCATTTTTATATATATAGATATAATATAATATAACGTACGTTCACGCTCGGACCGCGGAGAACAACGGAACGAAACGGAGACGAGTGGGGGTGCACGATAAATAATAATAATATTATAATAGGTCCCATGTAAAACAAATACTATTAAAATATTATTATTATTCCGTGACGTATATAGATACATTGTGGGTACAAAGTGTCCAGCTGGTTTCCACTCGTGCAATACGTATAAAATATAATAATAATATTGAATCGGAGTGCCGACCTCGGTAGTCGCGGGACTCGAGCCAATCATCGATTACCGCGGTATATAATAGGTCTCATAAGACATTTAATATTAAAGCTACCGTAATACCTCGTGACGTGTATAATTGGTAGGTATGTATAACACTGTGTAATTATACCTATTACCGTACATCGTTTCTCGGCAAAAAAAAAAAAAAAACAAAAACAATATCCAATCACTGCACTCCGTAAATACATTAAATTTCTACCCACCGAGATAAATTTTATCTCGGTGGGTAGAAATACTCGTCACGTGTAATCGACATATATTTATAATGTAAGAACACCGCTTTGAACATTGCAGGGTCATGCGATTTTGTCACATGTTTGGGCATGACTTTCTATGAAATATTGTTTGAAATCAGAATATTACTATATATATATATATAGTTTGACATGTTTTAGGTAGTCACAAAATGTGGTAGGTGATTGTTGAAACGTATTAATTATTAATTTCAGGTATAAATGGCGATATTTAAATGGACAATTTGTGATGTGATTTTTAAAATGACTTTACGATCGGAACTGTCTCGATGTCTCTGAACTTACTATGATTGATGCACGACCTGTATAGGTTATTAAATATAATACCGTCAAATCATTAACTGTTAGTATATATAATTATTATTTGCCGTGATCGATGAATACATTTTATTTTAATATTAATATTTAATATAATGATTTGACCACATGCGTAGTAATAATAATTAATAATAATATACGTAGCTTTGCTTGTCGATTATATATTTTAATATTATTTATTATCAATGGCGGACAAGTGGACAACCCAAGATCGATGATCCACTGCTGCAGGATTGGCGTGTTTATTTTGATCGGCAGCACTTTTTAGTTTGCTTTGTATTTGTATCACGCTAAGGTAGTAATATTTGTGATTTACATATTAAGCGCTATTGACCTACGAACGATTTCATATAATAAAGCACATAATATTATATTATTACGTTTTTTTTTTTTTTTATTAATATTTCAGTGATTTTTACATAATGAAAAAAATGATGATATCCTCGATGCAGTTAACCCTAACATTGTGCCATAGTGTTAAAAAATATTTTTACTGTGATGGGTGACACGCCCACGCCCTCGACAATGTAGAAAAAAAATGTAAATGGTTCACATATATAGCCTATAGCTGGTAATTTAGATAATAATGTTTCCGATTTAAAATAAAAACAACATCACGACATTGTTTATTAACAATAGAATGGCCGACAAATAACCACATAGTGCCTTTATTATACATATACAGTATAACAAGAGTTCTCACCACCATATTGTGTTTACTTTAATAACGAAATTATTAAAATTCAGATTTTTGAAAACTGTTAAATATATTTAAGGACCATGTATTACTGTTCAAGTCCAGTGGCGATACAAACTCATTATTTCTTGAATAACCTTTTTTGCAATACATTATTATCAGAAGATTTTTTTTAAATGTTTGATTACCCAAATCAAAATTCAAACTTGTAGTTTCTTCGTTATTGATATACCCATATACCGAGGATAATAGTCCTTAAAAATAGTTAAAAAAAATATATAAACACATAAAATATTGGATGTAGTATTTATTATTGGGATTCATATATGGGAAAAGAGTGATTGAAATTTAAAAGTAAAAACTTTTTACAACTACAGAACCCCCAAGTAAAAATTTTAAATAATTGAAAATGGATCGTAAAGTCCCACTTAAAAGTTCTCCACAGTGAGAATGTGTCATATTGATTCTAATTCGAGATTATCGCTTGACCGCTGGTACCTATGATATTATATTACGATAATATTATGCAGTAATCGGTGATATTCAATCGATGTACACATTTTCGGCGTGGTTTTGGAGCTCGAAATATAATAATATAATATTGCACAATATATTATAATATTCGATGGTCTCGATCTCGCCGCAGAACCACCGTTTGCGTTTGCCGATTTGCCCGTTTCACCGCCCCGTTTTATAAAAATAGTCAAATACCTACCTACCTACCTACCTACCTACCTACCTTCCTACCTACCTACCTACCTACCTGCCTGCCTGCCTACCTTACCTACCTGTCGTTCTGGCGGAGAACGGACTGCTTTTTGTTTGACAGTTCCGACGCCGCCACCGCAGCCGCCGCGTCTATAATTTTTTCTCCCGTCGCCGCTGCCGCCGCAACAGCGTTCGATTATATTTTACTCGTCCGTCTTCTCGACCATATTAATATACGTCTTAAACGCTCGTCGTCGTCATCATTATTTGGTCGAGTCTACCTCAGCCGTCGTCGTCATCCGCGATTAATATCATATTTTTTTATCATTTCGTTTAATTTTTTCCCCGACCGATCGTCGTTTTCCTACACCATAATAATAACATTAATACTATTATCGTTCAACCGTCGTATTATTTCCACGCCATGCAGGCAGCACTTGTATCGCCTTCGCCGCCGCTATCGTCGTCCACAAAAAGCCGTATTAGTGACTAATTATTTACTAGGAGTGTTGTCAAAGTTTACGCCAAAGTTGATTCTGTATTGATATTGTTACGTGGACGCCACTCGACTCAGCAGTCACCACTCGGTTATGTGGTACGCTACGAGCATGGTAAGGCATAATTATATATTTTTTTATGAAATAGAAATATTATGATATAATCATATTATATAATTTGCTACTTTAGTCATTACAAGTTTAAAATGAATTGACAAATATAAATAAAAATGTCCTTTTAAAGTACCTATATAATAATATTGAATGACGTATTCCATGCTGATTTGTTAAGTCTCTAAAATGTTAAATTAGTACATTTTGATGAAGCACATTATCTTTTGTCAATACTATAAATGTATGGTAACGTTTTTGTTGTACATTAAATTTACTTTTAAAAATCAATAGTAAGTTATTAAACGTAGATACAAGTCAAATAGTTACATTCCTTTTAAAAATTGTGTTATTATAGTTACCTTAATATTATGACCTTCAGTTGTATTGGAATACTAAAAAATGAATAAAATAATAATAATAAACTCAATAATATGTTTGTAATAACTGAAAAATATTTTTATAAGATTTCAATTTCACACTCGTTCAAATGAGCAAATATGTGTACTTTTTTATTTTGATATTAGTTACTTAATTATATACTTGAATTGAATGTACCATTTATCATTTTGTATTTATCATGTAATTTATTTATTACATTTTATTTTTTTATGGGTATTGCTTTTTGATAAACTATATTAAATTGTGTACACTTAAAAAATATTTTATTATTCAGATGGTTGAAAATAAATTGTTATTTATTTATTTAAATTGACTGCCACGAGCAATATTCGATTATAAATTCACTGATTTTTCACACAAAGAAATTCACAAATAAGGATACAAGCTAAACTTTTTGTAAACATGCATAAAATATTTCTGTACACATTCGTCGACATGGAGTTATGTCGTTTAAACCCGTAAAAAGTAAATGCATGCATGTGAATATATATTTAAAAAAAACACTGAGGTATTATCAGTACTAAAATAATAACGATTGAATAATCAAAATTGTTTTCTACTTTCCCATTTGGTATTAAAGCTAAAGGTGTATCTTAAAGAACATAATATTATGACGTACGTTAAGGCAGGTATAGGTCAACCTACGACCATTTAATGACACTTTTAAATCTGTGATAACATTCTGTAATAACCATACCATTGATATAGCATATAGGCATATTATAAAAAATTGAAGTTTTCTCCGTCAACGATTTGGTAGGTAGAGTATATTATTTTTGTATCGTCGGTAGTACATATATTTTCAAAAATCAACGAGTTGACGACGTTATTATGCTAAATATTATCGTATTTACTATTATTTCAATATAATTTCCGAGAATTGTTTGCCATGTAGGTTCGTCTCACAGACTGTCAAGACGAGTTTCGATGATATTTTATACTTTTACCACGTCGTACGACCATCTAATTTATAATACCTAAAATCTAAATAGAGAAGGGATTAATATATTATTTTTAATAATCTATATAAACCGTGTAAATAACGCCCCGTACGTTTCGACGATGATCTTGTACACTTTTACCACACTTGTTGTGTGACCGGATAATAATTATACAAATACTTCTTATGCCTATCAGATTAGTGAAAAGGATAAAAACACATTTATTTTAAGGATATTCAAAGCCATGTAAATAGTAAATTACTTTTTGTGTTCAAACGGCTTATCAAAAATAATAATAACAGAAGTTGTGATTTTTAATCAATACAATTTGGAATTATAATATTGTGCTTTATATGCTCTTACAATAAGTTTGATTTGTATCGCAGTAAACTATAAAAACAACACGCACACAAAAAAATGTGTAGGTAACCTATATTGGGGTTAAAATAATACGCTGAAGGACTACAGAGAAAAGAAATATTTATATTTTAATAATAATGGATTGTTGTAATTTAATTAACAGTAAACGGCATACATTCAAAACTTAATACATTTTTTACATTTCTGGATCAGTTAATCTAAATAATAATTTAAGTAAAGAACAAACTGAAGCTTCCTAAGAATTTTCAAAGGAATTTAAGTTGAATAAAATCTAATAAATAAAATTTGTTATATTTATAATGCAATATAGGTAGTATATTGTATAGATATTACATATATATATATATATATTATATTATATTATATTATATAACTTCGTGTTTCGTATTTTAATTTCGAACGGAAGAATATTAAATTGTATTAATAATTTCTTAAAAATAATCGATTCACAACAAAACGGATGCAATAACATTTTAAGCCTAATAAATCGTATATAATTGACAATCTCTCAATCTCAAAACAGCTCTAGCCTCTAGAAATGGAAAAATAACCGTATCGCTCTCGAAGTCATTCTCATCGTGGCACAGCTATTTGTATGAAATTCCCTTATAAAAGAACACTAAAAACATTTTCCTATCATAATTTGCATTGCACACAGGTCATTGCAGTTTCCTCGCCCATCGAACGTTATATTATTTATTCAGTATTATAATAGTATATAATATTATATAATCGATATTATGCTGAATTTTCTCTCATCTATTTCCTATACATATTTCAGATAAAATCTTCGAGTCCGCTTTACAAGTCACAATGTCCAATCGGCGATAAATTGGAACGCGAAAGAAACGAAAAAAAAACTTTTAATTAAGTCAACAATTCAGACAATATCACGCTTGAACCTCCCTCGAAAGCTATAAAATTACGTTCGGATTCCGTATAGACATTTCACTCGATACTACATAATGTGCACTATTCGAAATTATTTATTTCCACCATAACACATTCGTCAAACGATGATGTTAGGACACTTTATTTGAAACAAATATTATTTTAAAGGGTTTGCCATAAGCTCGACATAACAAAACATTTAGAAATTACCTTTTCGCGAGTGCTTTAATAAGACGTTTAGATTGTAGCCTGCAGGTATGTGGTTTTTGTTGTTCAGTTTTTTGGTATCCAAATATAAAATATTGACTAGGTAAGGGAATTTTATTTATAGGTATTCAAATAGTCGTTAGAAATAAACTATTATTAAATTATTAAAAAATAATAATTAAGTCTGTGCAGGACTTATATTTTAAATAGTATAATATTATTTCCACTTATAACCATGCATACTTACCTTATCGCTCCCGGTGTAGTTTTTAAAATAAATTCATTTTTATTTTTCAAACGTAAAAAACCTAAAAAATTGTACAAATAAAAGAATTCATATCATGTTTCTGGCAACTGTTTCGTCGAATTTTTAATATTGAAATGAAATATGAACATCGCATAATGTAGCAAACCTAGTGAAATTAGAATGGCGTTCAATAATATATCCTATTTTCGTCCGTGGTATAAATTTCTTTGAAATGTAGTCAAATATACGCCTGAGTTGCTTATTTCTGATTTCGTTCATTTTACTTTTTATAGTAGTTTATTATTATATCAAAAGAATAGTTACAAATTACGTACCATACTTTTATATACGTATATGCGTACCTTGATTACTGCATATAGTTATTACGACTGTTACGTAACTTCAATAATAATTGAACCGTTCGTTATACCTACGTGAAATCGAATTACTATTATATATAGTTGTATATATGAATGCAATACTGTATTTTACCACTTGAGCTGAAACCTAAAAGTCGCACCGTGTGATATGACATAATATTATACAAGCTCACGTGTAGGTGTTCAACTGAAATCTGTTGCAATTATTATCGTAACGCAATTGGTGCGGATAATAATTAAATTAATATTTCCTCTCGACTTCTCCAGAAATGGCAAATATTCATCATTCGCGACTGTACGACTGCAGTGCACAAGCGTTAATTAAAGTTTCTGAAACTAAACGTTCGCAACTCAATCACGTCCGTCGCAACATCGCAAATAATAACAACAACAACGATAATTGCACAAGTTACAGTAGTTTTAAATTTTATCAGGTGAGTACGACCAATTTTTTCGTTTTGTGTGGATATTTCATGGCCTTTGGGAACGACGCACGTCTTGTTTCCTGGTTGGTGGCAATTACTTATTTTTGTTGTAACTAATTGAGGTGATTATTTTATTAGTTAACACTCAACATCGTTATCTCGAAAAGTAGGTTAACGTTTTTAAAAACAATATATAATTACATACCTAATAAACTTGAAAAAAATATCGTTCACTTTTTTTTTGAAAACCAACTCACAACTCACATTCTATCGTATTTGAAGAATATTATTTTTTTTAAGAAATAATAATCGAATTTTCAACGGCTAGATATTTAGTTATGACTACTTGTGAGTTATAAGTATTTAAAGTTTAGATGATCGGAATAATTTTGTGGAGTATACCTATAACCTATTTCTATTCGAAATCGAGGATGCGTTCTTCCGCATTTCAAATAGGTAGGTACTTATAAGTTGTAACTATATTATTTTAATACTCGTTGGAAATTTCATTTTTTTTTAAATTTGTCACGTCCACGTTAACAAGTAACAACAAGTATCTCCAGTCTTAACGATAACTATATTTTTATTTCATAATATTTAGAATCTCCTTTGCGGTTATAATATTTATTGATAATCACGTTTTCCATCTAAAAATCATTAAAATATAATAACACATAACTTAAGTTCAACATCAACAACATTTAGCTAGTATCTCTTCTGTATAAAGTTTATCGCATACTGGGTGGTGTGCTCAGTAAATTGTCATAGCCGTTGCTCAAATTCAAATGGTTACAGTAGAAATTATTTTATTGTAATTGAAATAATTTAATGAATTCATTCAAATCAATTTAACAATCATTATAGAGTGCTTAAAAGTTAAAGATCTTAATTATTCAGTTTTTAAAATAAATACAATTTATAGATACGAGTTGTTTAGCACATTGTACTGATTGAGATACGTAGTATGACTAGTAAACTTAATAACTTATGTAATTAATATAATGTTGGATAAGTGTTATATAGGTTAAGTATATATATATATATATATAAATAAAAACGTTAGTTTTGTGCTGTTTAAAATTGGCTACCCACGTTTTGTACTTAATGTATATAAATATATACCATTACT